TAATAATTTTTATTTTAAAAAGGAATTCTAATTCATATGCTGCATGTGCTAGAAAAAAATCCGTTGTATTGACGGACGTTTTACGAATGGTGTTTTCCATTTTCTTCTTGTAACGCTTTCTCTGATTAGCGACTAATTTTCGTATCGACCAATTTTCTTCGGCCAATTTTCGTTCGACTGTTATTCGTTCGACCAATATTCGCTTTCCTCAAAACTTGAAAACAAAATTAAAAAGATCGTACATTATTTTTGCCATTGTTTGTTTTAGAATGTCATCTTGAGATGCTTGATTGAAACTGTCGACTACCAAAAATGATGTGTTGTGTGAATAAATTTTCAAAATTTTCAACACTGATTCGGTCAATAATTATTATAGTTACATTTCAATCATCTATGTAATTTTACATTCACATTTGGCACTCGATTTTGCTTTCCTTGTTTCAATTTTTCATATATTTTATATAAGCCCAAGAAAATAAAAGATTGCTATGATTAGATAATCAACTATCAAAATTGTACTAAATCTTTGCTTTAAGAGTCTTTCTCTCAGAACCTAGAGATTCGTCAAAAAATTCTTTTTGAAATAAACATATGAATATTTTGTCTGATCTGTCTACTGTATGAATTCATAAAAATAGTTTTGATTCTTGAAGATTTTTGGTGTTTATATGAATGATCTTTGAAACAATAAGAGCAAATAGTCATTTTTAGAGAAATCAGTGAAATTTACTTTTTTCAGTCAAATTTCGCGCATCTTAGCAACACACGTTGAGGTTACCAATGACTTTATGGTGTAGATGTAGATTTTCTTTTCAGGGTGAGGGTGTAGGTGTGGAGGTGGACAGGCGCGTGTGGGTGTTGAGTAGGACAAGATCCGACCAGACACTCACACCCTTAACTGTATCGGAAAAACGAAGACTGATTTGCTTTGCCACTCTTCAGTTAATTGCATCAGTATTGTAAATGTTGTTTTTAATAAAGAAACGGCAAACACTGGTTTACTTTAGAGTGGCTTACTACACTCACACCCAACTCGAAACACCTTAGCGATGTCTGCGATCCATACGAATCGACAAAAGTGAGTCAACTCAATAAATAATTGATTGAGAAAATATTCGACTAGATCGAAGCACAGATTTGACTTTTTTTTGAAGAAGACAAGTTTCTATCAACATGTTAAATCAAGTATTTGGATAACAAACTAATTGAATTGATTTCTTTATCTTGTAAATCAAATAATCAAATATTCGTACAAAAATCAAAGAATAGAGTCTGTCTCGAAATTTAGCAGAATTACTTTATCAACGCTTCTAGCTTATAACAATGATGATGATGAATATTGCCGCATCAATAACCAAAGCAATAAAAATGTAATTATTGAGTAGCGAGGAAATTTTCGACTCGTGACATTGATTGAATGATGAAAAATATACCAATTGATCACCCATACCAGCCAAATAAAAAACCCAATCACAAATAACACCAATGGCATAGAACTGGCACTTTCTGCTCTAGCCTGTGTACGTTCTTCGTCTCGACAAATTTATTTGGCTATGGATTTTTGAACGGACTTCTTGGCCTGTCACTTTTGCTCTCGTTGTAGTTGTAAGCCATATACTGCGCCTTGGTCAGTGTATGATATGGTCTAATTTCGACACGATGTACGGCTTCGGCTATATTCTTTATTTAATGTGGAAAAGTATTCTCGTCACAACAACTATGCTTCCATATTATAAGTCATATTTTTCGGACAACTATTAATTATATCACATATTTATCGTTTGAATATAATCACAGTTTCATAGTGTATAACTATACAAAATGTCTATTTAACACATCTAGGCAAACATAAAGTGTAGCTTTAAATTTAGTTATTCTTCGTAAAGGGGATTCAGGTTCTGTCACACTGGTAAAGAACAGTGAACGAAGAAATATGTTACGACCATTCACAGAGAAATACGATCTGCTATAAAGAAATAGTAGTTCTTTTACTCTCTTCGTTCTACTCTGCATATCTATAATTATGATGTTGGAGATATATACCATCGCATGTCAGTTCTCATGAGCTTTATGGCATATTGGTAGTGACGGAAGCAGTATATAGGGCTAGGGGAAGGGGGCGAGGTTTAGCCCGAAAGTTTTTCGAACCACTGAGACTACACCTCTTTTGTTTATCAACGTATTCGCGAATAGAGCCTTTCGATGCGTTTAGAAGTCTAGCATTAAAATTTCTACAAACGAATTGTTGAAAGTTTGATCAGTCGCTTGAAATACACGACAACGCTGTAGAATCTAAGGGTATGAGTGTGACTGTGGCTGTGGGGTGCAGGTTTAAGATGGTGTGAATGTCAAATGTCTCTTCACCGACACACTCACTCGAACACAAACCCACACCCACATCCACATCCAACACTAAGATAATATACGTTTAGTATGCACCAGGTATATGAAGAAAAAGAAAAATATTTAGCTTCATTATACAGCAACATCATTTTTCTGAGATTCATTATGTTTTCTTGAGATCTTTTTCATATCTCATATGTTCGTAAAATATTCAATACTTCTATTTTAATTATTTAGTGGATCTTAAATATTTTAAGATATGCCATCATTTTTAAACCATCATTTAAAAAATACAAATATTGATTCATTTAATATTCGAATGTTCGTTTCTTTGAAAGTATTCTCATTTCATCTGTAATTGTTAAATGATTTGTTTTTGTCTTATATATTAAAACTAATTTAAGTTCAAGAATTCTTTGTCTCTAGTGAATTAATGATCAAAGATAAACAGTAATCCAAGGATATGTTTTCACTTAAAAATCTTTATTATCATGATGTAAGATCAATTATAAGTTGTGATCTGGCTTTAAAAAAAAAGATATTATTACTTGTAACAGGATAATTTGATTTTTTTTTAAATTTTAATATTGGATATTAAAAATGGTGAGACGTTCTTTTCGTTGAATCGTAATACAACAATGTCATCCTGTAGCACTGTTCGATACCCTATTGATCGAGCAAAGAAGAAGAACAAATTTTCTTCGTCAATGATAGGCAAACAAGTGTTTCTTCAGGACATCAGCATTTATTTATCACATTCGTCTCATCAACCTTCAATTTCGCCATTATCAATGACATGTTTTACCTGTTCTCTCTTATTTACATTATAAAATTAACAGCATTTTTTTTTCTTGTGATAAATTCAACAAGATATTGTTTTTGTGATTCAATTATTTTATCAAAACATTTATCTAATGAATATTCATTTTGTCAATTATTGAATTGTTTTTACACCACCTGGATGTGTGCGTTAGAAAACGAAGTTCGATGTATTGTTTTAATATAATTATATACATATAAATCGATGTAGTTGCTTTTTTTATATGATAGCACATGCCTTGAAGTTGGATTTCATATAATATGATTTCAAACAATTAAAAAACAAATGATTATCATGAAATGAAATATCTAAATTCATCGTTTTCGAAATCTTTTTAAAATGTACTACAGAAAATTTACTGTCGAATTCATTTATTTCCGTTATTAGTTCTTAATTTGAATTCAAATCTTTACATATACCACATGCATTGACTATTACTTTTTATTTTTTGATAAACCATTTCTATGAAAATGGAATTCGCCTAAAAAATGGATCATTTTAATTATTGATATTGGATGCAGATGTGTGGTGTAAACGTTCTTTTTTCCTTCTATCTCAACACTTCACATCCATTTATATCTCCATCTACGACTTCCAATTCAGCTATTCTAAGAAAAAAGAAGATTTAGCATGAGAAGACTTGATTCTGCCTTGCGGTATTCGCTATAGTTAAAAGTTAATTCTCAACACTAATATTATGTTAGTTGTCATTTTTCGTCAGTTTTTACAGCTGTTTAGGTTCAAACTACACTGAAACTAGTATCTCAAGAAGTCCTACATTTATAATAAAGGTGTCACGTCCTTATGTTCTTTATTTAAAAGATACTTTCGAAAACTAGAAGAAAATATCTAAAATTTTCAACATGATTGGAAACTATTTCTGACTACTCTGCTGTAGTTTGGGTCTAGATCGCTGTAAAAAAACTAATGGAAAATGACAACTAATAAGCTATCAATTGGAAATTGAATCACGAAAAACTTCCTCAACCCAAATGAATCTTGTAGGGATAGAAGACGTCACCTAACTTCTCCTATCAAATTGGAAAAAATTCAATCTCAATAACTTTGGACGATCGTAAGTCATTCAAATAAAACAGCAAAGCATATTAAATTTTAAAAGGAACAATACTTTGTATTAAGAGACATTTATTTTGAAGAAATTCACTCCGTATTCTATAATAGTACGAGAAAAGGAATATACGACTTTTTGAAGTCATTCACTATATCATCTTTCATGAGTCACTATCTACTTTTCATTTCATGGCTTCTCATGTTTAATTCTTTGCGGTCATAAATGACGAACTTCGAAAAAGAATGCTATTGTAAATTTCAATTAACCGAATTTTTTCGTAAAAGTTTGTCTTTCAAGTTTTTTAATTTTTGATAGTTAATAATTGTTGACTACTGTCCTGGTTGTGCTACATCAATTTCGTTTCCGAGAGGTGCATAATTCTTGTATTTTAAGAAAAAGAAAAAAGTGTATGATCTGTAAAACATTCTAAGGAAAGAAATTGATGTATTTTTCCACTTGATAAAAATTATTGAAAATACTCGACAGTGACTTTTTTAGATTAAAAATTCTACATGGAACTTGTGTTATATCGGGTTTTTTCCAAAACATATTTCACTAGTTACTCTTTTTTCTCTGTCAAAAAATAAACAATTGTCATAGCGTAAGAAATAAATGCAAGAAAAAAGAATCATAAAAGCAATTTCAAAAAAAGAAAATTCGTTGTTAATGCGTTAACATCTTATTATTTATTAAATTGCGTATGATTTGTAACTTGTTTGTTTTGTATTTATAAAGAATGAATCAATGATAAAGCATGACCACAGCTTAGCAACAACAGCAACATGCGTATCCTCCATATCCATATCCATATCCATATCCTCCATACCCATATCCATATCCTCCATATCCATTGACTCCGTATCCTGCGATACCTACAATGAAAATAAGAAAAGCATATATATTGATTAAAAAAATGCTAGAAATTCGATTGGAGTCATATTACCGAAATTGGCACATGGATATGTTACTGGCATTGCAACAGCCATTGGTAAGGCACTATTAAACAAGAGACAAAGAATCCGTTTAAAATCTTGTTACATAAAAATAAATAAGTGACCTTACCAAACTCCAGCCGAAGGAGCCTGGGGTATAAAAATGGCACGGATTTTAGGAAGAAGACGGTTTCGTTGACGTCGGCGTGGTAGCATTGGTGGATAAATAGTTGTTGAAGTTGAAGTAACTTAGTCATAAGAAATCAAAAGAATGTTATGTATGTGTATTGCAATATGTAGACGATAACAAAAGTTATAAACGCTTACTTGGTATATCAGTAAACCTAGGAGGAGGTATCGGAGGAGGAGCAGGAGGAGGCAAACTAGTACGACGAGTGCTTTTTCTGTTTCCCATATCTCTTTATTTTTCGTTAGATAGTTAATATAGTGTCTAGAATTAATATAAGAAGATCTAAACAATAAAAATAAAGTAGCATGGTTATTCTGTTACTAAAAAAGCGAACTACGATCTTCAATTTAAGCCTGACAGAATCAACTCACTGTTATTCGATTGATTGCGATAATGGACGATCATAAGTGGTTAGTCAAAGACACATGATGCTGATTTTACTAGGTAAATGGTGTCGCTTACACATTCCAAAATATAAGAGGAAGAAAAAGAAAAAAGAAAAAAGAAGACACCTTATCCTGTTAGAACACAATACGCTGATATTTATTTCTTATTGCAAGGACTATGGTCATACAATACAATTCATTTATTATGTTTGTTTGTGAGTTATGCGCACATCTATCAATGATACGTAAGTATAAGACTTACGATAGTTGTAGAATAAACAAGAACAGAAACATGCTGTTATTCATTAAACAGACTTGTTATGTTGTTTATAATGTAAAGGAAAGGAAAGAAAAAAAATCACTCTTTTTACCATATGTAAATTCAGGGCCAAACCATTTGACGTCAATTTTTCGAACATAATGGTCGTCAAGAAAAAAATCGATATTTATAATGAAACTGTATTTACATATATATAGATAAAAAACATTGGCTTGTTTAATAGCAAAATGTAATAAGTATGCGATTAATGTCTAATTGACAATGATGATCTTGAAGTTGTTAATACTCATAATGATTAAAATGAAGACTCATCAAAGAATATATTTTGGCATATACTTAAGAGAAAGATGGTTAGAAATAACTATTTCAAATTTTATGACTATTGATCATAAATTTTGTGGTTTCACCTGTCGTCAATCTATTATTATTTAGTATTGTTTCAAGGCTAAACTAATCATGTAAGGTAATCAAAATATATGAAGCATAGAAATAAGATGCAAGTTATGTAAAATTACAACAGATATGATTCTTTTGCTAAACAAAACATCAATAGAAATTAATTTTCCAGTTTGAGTCACAAAAATCTATTTAATGGTTTCTCATTTTTGAAGTCTTCACGAAAAAAATAATAAAAAATACTGAACATTCGTCAAAACCTGCAAAAATGCCGTGCCATAGAAAAAACAACCTTGAAATCTCAGATAATTTGCTTGTTGATTTCAACAATGTGTTTTATTTAATCTCTTATATAAAATTGAGTCTAAGAATGCTTCATAATCATGATTACCTTGTGAACATCTATCAAAAGTAATCGCAACTGACTTTTTAATTATAAACATTGTTACATTTATTAATAATTTGTTCATATATTTTACAAGAGTTTTTCGATCATAAACATAAGTAAATCTTTATTTTTCCTAACAGTTAAATCACCATCAAGCGATATTTCGAGATTCATTTATGCATTATTGGTTTGATCTGCTAATAATTGGACAAGAAGGATTGAGTGTCGTTGAAAGTGAACGAACTCGTATATAATACATCAGTTCTAATAGAATCCAATAAAAACATCAAATCATTACTAACTGATGAAGTTACATTCATGATACGTCTTCTCAAAGATTTATGTTTATATACACAAAGCTGTAGTGTTAATATAGATATGAATGCAAAAAGATATAATCTGGAAACTTCTAAGTTGTATTTTTCTGTTTTTATTCATGACATTTCTATAATGCCTAGTGAACTCGATTAGCTTACTCTGAATTGAAACTTGATATTGTGCAAACTTGTGATTCATCACACAAATATAAACATAGAGGATTTTATTCGAAAAGACTTAGTCGATGACTAAAATAATTAATAGAAAAGTCATAAAATACATGAGATATTTATTTAAATAACCAATGTTAAATATACATAAATCGAGAGTTTTTATTTTTATTAAAGTCTAGTTCTAGTGTTGGTTATCAAACTATGGCCCACAATGCTGAAAGCATCTGTACATTCGTTTACACACGAGCAAGAAAATGATTTTTGAGGTAGTGTTTTGTGAAATCGGTAATAATATATCCACATGTGTAAAATTGTTTTGTTGATATGGAATTTAATTTTATCAAAGTTGATAAAATGAGTTTTGAAAGAAGAAAACTGTCGCACGAAATTCGATCTGTAAAATATGTTCGATTTGAACATCATTCCATGATATCTAATTTTCTTCATGGTCTAACATTCTCACAGTGGAATTACTCTGCTGACTTTGTGTAAAAATTATATCAAGCACCTTTGACATGATTTGTCTGTGTGGTCGCTTGTGGGTGTGGGTGTGAGTATGTTTTTTTTCATACCGACACCCACACCCCCACGCATGCGCCCCCACTCCACACCCATCCTCACACACCCACACACTCTCAATTATATTTATCTATTCTTGTTTCAATAATCAATCATTAATCACGTAATAATGACGAAGGGAGAAAACAAGTGTTTGTTATTTGAACTTTATCTCTGTGTCATACGATATATTATTTTTTTCTATAAGATAGAAATTAATAAATAGTCGAAAATTTCTGATTACAGTTGAATTGTTCATTTCAATCTATTCAATAAAGAAATAACAAACATCAAGAATAGGACAATTTGAGCATTTTCTATAGTTTTTATATTTATGAAAAAAAATTCATAAAAAATTCTTGTTAATTTTCGAATGAAAGTGAAGAGTAACAATTCTTGACTACAGCTATTATAAGGAATTGTCAAAATTTCTCTTTCAGAAATTTAATTCTTCGAACTAAAATCAAGTCGAAACTGGTTGAAAATGATCAAAAAAATATTTATCTATGTTTTTTCTCATTTCTGATTTGAAACTCATTAAAAAGAGACGAAGAAAAGTCAAATTCAATTTTGAACTTTTAACAAGAATTTCAATTTGAATTTCAAACAAAATAAATTTCAATTGTTTCTCTTGTCTCAATAATTGATGTTCTCTATTAAGAACATCGTTTTCCTATTTCAACAAAGCAACACCAACTGATTTCTTTTGTTTATTATACATATAACCATTATTTTCATATGAATTCATTTTTCTTGATGGATATTCATAAGTTAGACTCACACAAATTAAAGCTGAGCATCGAAGGCAAGAGATTTGAAAATGTTTTCACAATATGAAAGAAAATTGAGAAGAAAAAAATACATGAAATAATCAGAATATTTTAAGACAGTCTATGAAGACAAATATCTTGTTCCGTCATTATAGCCAGAACATCATTATCCACTTGAATGGCATGAAGAGGTGATGGATTGTATTGATCTTTTTTTATGATTTTTCCGCCTCCACAAATATGTAGAAGTTCGAAGTTGTTTGGATTCATCACCATCCGTTCGTCATGTCTCAACGAGCAACATCGACTTCCACTGAATCCAGCTAATGAATCGAGCTCAATTGACCAACGTCGTTCAAGGGTTGTCGGTGAACATAGATCGAAACGCACTGTTTTCCGGTGATTCTCGATGACGACCACAAGTACACGATTGTTCGATGAAAGATCTTGGATTCGTTCGTCTTCTCTGCAGGAAACAGGTGATCGGTATTCTTTGACGATACAAATAGGTGAAAAGATTCAATATGTAATATTTATATAACAACTAAAAAAATAAACTACTTTATTTGTCTCTTTCTTGTATATTGGCATTTATAGTTAATATCTTTAGTCTTTCTGAGTATGGATTTTTACCATTGATTGTTGAAAATGAATCACTTAGCAAATGCCAAAATGAACGATCTCATCAAAAACTCCCTATTAGACATCAATCTATTTTATATAGAAGTAAACCGAACAAATTCATTCACATTACATACAAATCATGTTAAATAATTTAATTAATTAACGAATCAATTATTTAACCTAAAAAAATCAATCTTCTTCTACTAGCATGTTTACCTCTACTCAAATAATATTGGAAAATAACAAGAAAGCATTTATCAATAAGGTAGATTTCGAGATAAGTAATGAGGACGTCAAACAACTATTTAATGAACAAGAATTTAAACATGAATATATTACTTGTATTATTAACAAAGAGAATATGACAAGTAAAACAATAAAAATTAATTTTGCAGAATTCATCGATTAGTGATTTATTCGTTAAACCTGTTTCACAAATTCATTCAATGGATTTCATTGCTCAACCAGCTAATCACAACAAAAAAAGCCATTTCGTCTTCTCACCGAAAGATAATCAATCGTGAAAGTTTACATCTTAACCATTACTTTTTATAAAGCTTAACTAAAAAACACTATTATCACCAGTTAAAAGTTATTGATTACTATTGAGCACATATTAACACCAATCATTGATTGATTATTAAACAAATCTCTCTAGTTAATAGTAAATAACTGGTTAATAGGTATAAATAGTTATAAAAATGATATTTAAATATACGAATGACAACTATTGAATGATATCTAATAATAATTGATTACTGATTAGTAACAATCTTGATATTCGACTAAAGTTGAACTTTATAAATTGATTATTTTCATTGTTATTTGGAAAGCTTTTTCAGTTGAAGATCAATTGAAAAATGTTCAACTCCTCGTCTTTTTTTTCTTATTCTGAATTGAACTCCTTTTATATTTCAATTAATCGGTTTCAAAAGTATTCATTTCGTCTCAGTCAAAGTGTTTTTACTTATTGATGTAACTAATATTTCATAGATAAAAATAGAGAAATAAGATACTGCTGTTTCTCTAATGAACTTCTATATAAACCTGAGTCTTGTTTTTTGATTGGCTCTCATAAAAAGTGTGTCACAGTGCGTGCTCGAAATCCGACTCGTAGGGTTGTTTTCGTATCATACCAATCGGTGAAAGATACTCGGTTTGATGAAACGTTCAAAAAATCATAGAATGGATTAACCAGAACATGAAAAACTCTCTTGTCTCAACAAGGCAAGCCGTCCATACAATCCAATCGGCTTTTATATAATTTGCTTGATCATCTAATGGAAGACCATATTTATTTTGATGGTTGAGGTAATAAGTGATCTCTTTTTG